CTAGATATCACTAAATTCTACACACTGGTCCTTTAAGTGTCTTACAGTTTTTCAGTTTTTCAAAGATCCAAATGATGTACTTATGCTCTGGATCCTAAATGATTAATCCCTTTTTCACATAGGGTGTCATGACAAATGGGTAATTTTGAATCCCTACCCATCACTTAAAAACAAGCTGTGAAGCACTGATGCAACTATAAACCACCAGTGTGGAGTGTTGTTCTCTTTTCTAAGTAGACTGTTATGAGCTTGCGAAGAGGTCTTTTATTTCATACACTTCTCTTCAAAATACACAAGGCACCACTGCCTAAAAGCAACATGTCATTGATAGATCACCCCTTCCATAATATTGCCAAAGGCAGCATGCATTCAGCTCTCACATTTCTAAACCAAGCCACAACACCAGACACAGGGAGAGAAACATACGCTGTCCAACTATTGATCTGCAGATATCGCATCACCAAAATATTGGCTGACAGATATCACATGGCCTTGCCTCATAGCCTCATTTCAGTATGTCAGTCATCAATCACACTGTAACTTATACGTCCAGGGGTTAGCTCATCTGTCATTGTATAGTCCTCTAACAACATTCTGTGTGTCCACTTTTAACCCAGCTCTGATGTCATGCATAATCAATAACCAGCAGATCAAGCTGAAATGTAAAACCACCAACACTATATACATACATTTGTCAAAAAGAAAAAATAATAATCAGCAATAACAGCATTGCTTTAGGAGTGCAAGAGCACAACTTGCTTTCATTTGCAGGATTTTGTGTCCATCAACAAAATCAAATACAAACCATCAATAGGAGAGATGCAATTAGGCTGCTGCAAAGTGACACCAAGGGAAAGCAAATTACAGATATAAGACGATGAAAATTATGAGAGCAATGAGACTTTGACAACAAATGCAATAGTACAGAAGAAACAGTAACAACATTCTTAAAAGGATAAGAGTAGTGAGCACCAGAAGGAGGTCCAGCAGAAAAAAGAACAGCCAAAACGAAGAAAAGGTAACTGATGAGAAAGGATTGTCGGATGGAGGAAGGGTCAAGCCAAAGAAAGACTTCAGGGGTGTTTGGAGCGCAGACGCACAGGCCCACAGCAGTACACTACAAAGTAGGGAGTGGGGGTGGGGAATAAAGAAAAAGACATATGAGATTTGAGATGGAAAGATCATAGACATTGCGCTGGGCAGAGATTGAAACAGCATCCAGAGAAAAACCTAAGGTAGGACAAAATACAGTAAAATGGAAAACAATAGTGTTTTGGCCACCTAGCCTGGTGTCTCCTCTTATACATCGAATATAATCCAATGTACTGTATAAATGCAACAGCAAAGGCACTCCAATTGATTGGTGTTGACCCCAGCCCTGACCTTTTGGACCCAGAAGAAATAACATTACTACAGGTTGACATTTATAGATATGAAGCACCTTGACCTCACATAGATCCAGTATCACTTAACACCTCAGCTGCTGGGTCGCTGATAGACAGAGTGAGATGGAAAGCATTTAAGGATAGAGTGTAACATTTACATGCACACACATGCGCACAAAAAGATTTGACTCTGATTCGGACAAATGAAATAAAAGTTAGAAACCAAGGGGAGCACCTTCTAGGAGTGAAAACATAGACCAAGAGTGAAGGAAAGGGAGATTCAGTCCATCTGGAACCTACACTGGGGCGCTGCTTCCTCTGCTTCCATGAGACTCTGTGGGGAGTTGCTTTCTTTGGGCTCAATGGGAGGGGAGGACGGGGTAGGGGGTAAGACAAACTGTGGTGACTCCCGGGATGGGCAACGCCGAGGTTTGGGTGGTGCTGGTCGATCATTGGTTCCTGCAGGAGAAACAGCATGCAGGCAGGGCAGGCACCGATGGTCATGTTTGTAAAAAAAAAAAAAAAAAAAAAAAAAAGGGGGAATGTGACACAAACATTGTACATGCAAACTTCTTATCAAGATCTTTTTATTTATTCTGGCAACATTTTGCCTTCTGTGTTATTGTGCTACACTCCTTAGAGACTGCTTGTTATTCAAACAGTAGCTTCTTTATCCTTGGATTATCTGGTAATGAAGTTTGAGTTTCTGTGGGCAGAACTCCTTCCTTTGTCTGCTGAGCCATGGAAGTTATCACTGTTACAGCACTGTAAGCTATTGTTTACAATACATTCATTTGTGCAGGTTTTCACCATTGCTTCTGTGGGATTGCTCCTGTCAGTTTACTTGACTATGTAGTGGAGCGCCAAACCTCTACAACAAAGGTCCTTACAGTATCAGCTGAAGATTCAGGAAACAGGAAAAGTAAAAACCTGAATAACAAGTGTGTGACAAGAGTGGAACTGTTGTTTTCTTTACTGGGTGTTGCATCACTGAGGGTTTTAATATCTCTGTCTTCTTCTAACTTGTATTCAATCACTAATAAAAACATATTGCATGCTATACATACAGTTTACCAGATGAAACTGGATGCCTAGGTTTGCAGAAAAGGTACTTGCTTTCATGAACTACTTTGCTATTACTTTGCTAATTTAATGGTCTGCCACAAGTTTTTATTTTGACCATCCATAGTTGGTGATTGTTGGAATAGTGAAAAGTCTAACAAAGAGTTTTATTTCATTTCTGTCAGATTTTAATGAAATATGTTTTTACGATGAGTTAAAAAGGCAATAAAACTAGTCTTAGTTGAATAAAAGAGAGAAACTTGAATTCAGAATCTCACCGCTAAATGCAACTATATCCTACACACTGGTCTTTTTAAGAGTAAATCCCAGATTTTGTTTCAGTATCCAATAGCATATTTTATCCCTATTGCATGCAAAAATGGGTACCAATTGATTGAATGTGGCTGCTAATGCAAGAAGAGACCGTAAGCAAGGAAGTAAGAAGTAGTTGAATACGGATGTGTAACATATGCAGACTATGATACACATAGCACAGGAGAGTGATGTTAACAGAAGTGTGGACTGACAAATAGGACAAAGTCAATCCGGATAACATATTGGATTGTAAGGGGAAAGGCACTATTGCTATAAAACAGCACTGCTGAAAAATAGCTATCTAAATGTCTTTAAAAGACTAGTGATGCATCAGTGTGCTGTGTCTTAGTCAGCAGGTGCTGTCGATCTGCTACTTTATCTGTTTACTCTGTTGCCAACAATAGGAAGGAACTGAGACAGCATGCAGGGCTCAGATGATAAACAACACCATCATAACCTTAACAGCCATTGAAGCACACACACACACACACACACACACACACACACACACACACACACACACACACACACACACACACACACACACACACACACACACACACACACAAACACACACAAACACACACATACACAGGTTGTAAAACACTTACACATATTCTATTTTCCTATCCACAAAACCCTACAAATTACCCTGATGCTAATCCTTGATTTGATCATATTATTGTATCCGTGTTTCTCTAAATAAGCAAACACAGACACACACTGCCCTGATGCCTTATGCACTCCCTGAATAATAGTGTGAGTAATGTGGACGCAGTCTCAAAAATAGTAGTGCTATATCACTTTGTCAATAAAAACCAGTGGAGATTGTGTTGACTAGATCTGAAAAGGAACCACTATTTACATTTTCACTGGCCTCTCTGCTTTAAGCTAAAGCTGTAAAAAAACAGAAATCCAAAGAAAATCCTTTTTGTCCTCTATTGTCAACTAAAGCTGAAGCTTTGAATTTAAATTGACATAAATGTTGACATTTTGTTTACCCTCATGCCTACCATAGAGCGTGCACACACACACACACACACACACACACACACACACACACACACACACACACACACACACACACACACACACACACACACACACTAACACACCCACGCCTGCACAAGCATACACACAGAGATGTTAAGCTTCAACAGTACAATTGCATTTTATGATCTAAGGTAAATACTACCTTATATCAGACACTAGAAGAAGCAATGGTATAAAACCAATATTTGTATGGTTTGCAGCTCCACCTTTGTTTAATTAGATATCTTTATCACAAAGCTTCCCGAAGCAAATGACATACAGTTTAAAGTTTGACATATACATCAATCTTGCTTAAATGAAAGACTGAATCAAACCTATAAAATGAAAGACTAACTGAAACTTATACTGTACCTTTACTGTGTACATTTCTGTCTCTGCCTATACAAGTAGGTGGGCACCACCCTGTACTGTACATGCAGGGTGTACTTGTCTAGCCCTAACGTGTATACCAGCTATTAATTCACTGCCAAATATGTATTGTTGATGTATAACGGAGTGCAGTTGCAAGGCTGCACTGAACAATCTTCTTTATATTTGCTGCATGTTTGTGAAAAGCTGAAAAGTTGATGTTGATGTTGTGTGTACAAAAAGGACTGTTGGAGAGAGTGTGGCTTTTGGAATAAAAACATTTTACAACAAATACACTTTTTAAAGGGAAAGAAGACTGAAAATGGGGAGAGTCAAAGCAAAATAGAAGGTGATGCACTGTCAGCAGTGTCAGGAAAGAGAAAAAAGAGAAGTAGCTAGGTCTATACATTTATTAATGATCCTGGTGCTCTCTGTTCTATCCTGACTAAGGCACTAACCTCCTCATACTTCATCCTTTCTCTTGCTTTCATCTGCCTGTCCATCATTCTCCTCTCTTTAAACCCCCCTAGCCCCCTTGTTTCTTCCTTGCTACCCTGTCATCCCGCTGCCAAAACCTTCCCATGCTCCTTTCCCTGAACTCCATTCCCCCTCACCTTTCTCATCCCTTTTTCTTAGGTCTACGACTCTCTCATCTCTGCCCCTGTCAGACAAGACAGGCCTTTGCTGCAATCTCACTTTGCTCCAGAGAAAGATCTAGGTTATATAAAGATCAATACAAGGCCAACTAAAGTTCAAGTAGATCCTGTTTCAATCTATGACAGATCTGTCTGTGTATCTACCAGCTTTGAAGGTTTGTGTGAGTGGCTGCATGCATATGAGAGAGAGAGAGCAAGGGAGGGAGCGACAGAGACAGACAGACAGACAGACAGACAGATAGAGAGACAGAGAGAGACAATGAGAGAGAGAGAGAGAGAGAGAGACAGAGAGACAGAAAGGAGAAAAAAGAGAGAAAGATATGACAACTGTGTTAGATTGATAAGTGAAGGCGAGAGACAGGGACTGTGTTGTTTTATGAGCCACGATGAAAACAAGCTCCACTGGTTCCTGTACCTTAACCATGACATGCGCGCACACACACACACACACACACACACACACACACACACACACACACACACACACTTTCACTAGGTAATGTGCGTCATCCTTGACAGTTGAAGTTTCAGATGTCAGCTCAGTCCTCCAGGGCAGACATTCAGTTATTTTATGACAGGTAAAAGTTAGTTCCTTTACATACAGAGCTATCAACTAGTTCATTTTCTTTGATGAATATGAATGTCTTGTGTACTGTGGTGTGAAAACTTAATATGCCAGTTTAGATCAGAATTGAATTCACAGACTGATGGAGCATATTAAAACTAAGAATGATATAGTGTCATATTGATAGACAGGTAGATCACATTATTGACTGTGGTGCTGTGTCTGCTTTATCATTACCCTTAATACCCTTAGCTGTCATTTTGGTATTATCCTGTACTTCTATGCAGTGCTGTCTCTGTCTTTAATTTGAGAAGAAGTAGTCTGATAACTGAGAGATGTTAGACAATTACTAAAATAAAATAGGTTGTGTCGTCACTATCAAGAAAGAAAGACTTGATAGTTATAGCATACTTTCAGAAAGCATGAATTAAGAAGTATTAAAGATTAATTTGAAACTTTTTTTTCCTAAACTGGTTGCATTTATAAACTGAAATCTTCAAATGTAGATTCTTATTTCTAACATCTGTGTCAGGTGCTGTTTTTTTCACTGTCATGCCATTTTATAGATATTTACCCATTGCGCTATGTCTGTTGTTCTCAACTTCATCCAGTTTCAGGTTTAGGGCCGACTCAGTATCCGACTTGGAGCCGCTGGCTGAGGTTTCCTCTTGATCTAATTTGGCAGCCATGCTGCTGGACTTCTCCGATTCCTTCATCCTACTGCTGGAGCTTTTCTTCATGGGTTGGACCCGCACAGACCTGCTTCCTGTGCTGCTGGTGAGACTGCTGCATTGGGAACCGGTCTGGTCTAGGTCAGCGTCTGAGTCGTTGAGGCTTTGGCTGAGTTCAGAGCTGGAATCCTGGACAGCCAGGCTGTCCGAGGTGCTGCTACTTGGGGTCGGGGAGCTGGGGGTTGGGGTGGCGGCGGACCCAGGTGGTGGTTGTGCAGCTGGGACTGGTTTTACTTTTTGCAATACCACTGTGGTAGCAGAGACGGTGGTTGACTGTGACACCTTGGTACGAAAGGCCGGGGTAGGTGTTTCAGTAGCGTGGCTATCAGGGGTGGGATTGGCAGAGGATGAAGTGTCGTCAAGGCTTGTAGTGATGGAAGCTGGAGTGGGAGGAGGGGCTGGAGCCTTTCTTTTCCTCTGCTGGCTTTCTGAGCCAAGGCCCATCTGATTGAAAATAAGATAAAGAAAGGGAGACAGACAGTAGAAAGTTAATTTATGTGAGCACCTTGTGCATATGTGAGTGTGTGGTCTAACCATAAATCAGCCTGTCTACCAGGACTGAGTTTACTACTGAGTAATTAAATCAAGTGGAGTTCTGGCAGGCGTCTGAGTCCTCAAATCCATCAGAGTGCCAACATTCCTTTTAAATTATCCTACAAGATATATAACATCTGGCAGTGGTACAATTAATTTGATGCAGTGGTATTGTGATAGTACATATTGATACTGTATTTGTATTTAATGTGGTGGTTCTTCTTATTATTGAACGGGACATCAAATGTAATTCTGCCTTGCTGAATTACTCGTAATACTAAATCACTGATCCCTTCAGGCGTTGAAGTGACAGCACTGTGACAGCGAAATTATGAAATTTCTTCCGTGTGTGCAAACACAAAACAAAAACATGTCATGTTGTTCCTTCATCTCCAACACTCTGTCAATTCACTTTAAACATAATTCTTGGCAAGGTACAACTTGAATCACTTAGACAAGTGACATTCGGCTCAGTGGGAACAAGTGGTTCAATAGAAATCTGTCCATGAATGTTGCTTGCAGGACAGAAGGAGGATAGAAGAGGAAAGAGATAGAGAAATAAAAATGACAGGATAAAACTGAATCATTGAGAAACGAGCGAGTGGGAAATTCTGTTTTCTTCCAGAGGGAGATGAGACCATTCACACCCTCCTGTGCAAGTTGAGCTCACTCTCTGTGAAGTCAGTTTTCTAACAATTTAAAAGTGCTATGGGCAGGTTTCAACAGTGTAGATGTCCTTATTTCTAAAAAATCCCATTATTGCTGTGTTCAACTTTTCTTCACTCTACAACAGCGAACATGCCTGGAGCTGCATGTAGTGTTGCATCAGGACCAGAGAGCAATCAGGCCACCTTGCCTTTCTGCAGGCAAACTAGGTTCACACATGTGAACTCAATGAACTCGCTGCATGCATGGCATGCTATGGAAATCCAAATGGCCCCCCAACTGGTTGTCTTTCTCTTCCTTGGTCTCCGCTTCTCTCCCTCGCCAGCATTCATACATACATGAATACAGACATACCAGTGGATGTGGGCCAAAGTTGAAGCTGAAATGGATGACTGACTTAGATAGATGTGTGTGTGCGTGCGTGTGTGTGTGTGTGTGTGTGTGTGTGTGTGTGTGTGTGTGTGTGTGTGTGTGTGTGTGTGCGTGTGTGTGCGTGCATGAGTGTGCATGTGTGTGTGTTCCCTGCAGAGTGAAAGAGTGAAACATAACACCGCAGCCAAGCTCTGCTATGAAAGGTAGAGAGTTGTGACCACAACACACACATGCAGTGTGTCTGTGTGACTGTATGACCACATACACACTCTCGCATATGCACATGAGTGCACTGCACACACAAGAAGGAACAGTATATCTCATGTCTCAGGCCAAGCTGGGATGTATGGATTAGGGAGTTGTTAGGGGTTGCAGGGTTAAGTGTCTGTTGCTCTCATGGGCTTATTGGCGCCATGACTGGGAACGCAGCATGTACTTAAGATTGTTAGAGACTGAAGCCAAGACTCAAGATTCTGTATTATACCACATTCAAGGTCACACTATACATTATCTTAAGCTGACTATGTAATATGATTATGTATACACTGTGTTTATGTGTGTTGTTTACTGATGTTACATTTGCAGCAACTTTCCTTACAGAGAGGAGAACAGCTGTATACTATCAGGAAAGATGGTCTTTTCAGAAACTCTTTTTTCCAACAGCTACACGTGTATTCCTGCAAGCTAGAGGCTGGATCTGGTCATTTCTGCTCATGTCTCACAAGTCAAGTCACAACAAAGAATACGACTGCCTGAGTACCGAGTGGATTCTCAAGTCCTGATGCCTTGAGTGCAATCAAATCAGGTTGCATCAAATCACAAGCAGAAACAATATCAAATGAAATCAATGCAAAGTTGTGTAAGTGAATAATCAGTTCACTTTCGAGCAGTTCTTTCACATTGTACACCAAAATAATATGTAATAATATAATAGTTAAAAATAGTGGAATGATAAAAATCCACACATGTGAATACACAGAGATGCTAAACACCAGGGATGAGAGAGTACACCGTTAACTGTATCTGTATCCAGCCAAAACCAACCAACTAAATTATTTCTATTCTCCATACTGTAGATGGGCGGGGCTTAAACCAGACATGTTTTTAAAAAAACTATAGAACAGTCTCAGAACTGAGCTTCAGAGCAGTGTTTCTGCTGCAAGTTTTTCTTAATAAAAGTTGCTAAACGAGTACGGATATCGACACATTTTACTCTGATGATCTTGTACATTATCTATACTAACACTCGTTTCAGCCGAGTACTCGCTTAATCCTACTAAACACCTCTTCCCATTCCCATTTACTTGAAATTGTTCAATTACATTGTAGATTTTTTTTGGGTAGGCTATCTTTTAGAGACAAACATTTACAAGTTAACAAAAGTCAGATTCATGGGTGATTTTCTGGTGTATAAAGTATCTACAAGATTTTCCTCACTGTTCATCTAACTTGAAGAAACCCAATAAACAAGTCACCAGAAGTCCATTTATTTCTGATGATTAAGAAAGGATGTAGGCACATCATCAGCCACCATCTGATTGTCTGACTTTCTTGTTTCCATGCGAAAGTTAACTTGTTTGTTCTATAATAACTCCACTTAGAAGTGTAAAATAGTGAACTTGATTACATCTACTCACAGCTTTCATGTTCCCTGCAGTGTTTTGTCTTATAAATAGTGTTTGGACTGAAGACTGCTTAGATCTGATTCTGAGGGATAGAAGCTCAGCTGTAAAAATGCTGTAGTTTTGTTTTTGTAATTTTGCTGACAAATAGGTTATCATAACTAAACTGAAACATAGAGGAGAAAATGAAACCTATATTCTGTTAAATTTAAGTTGTAACCATTGTCTCATGATGTGCACATCCTGAAAGAGCAATTATTATCAAGCAACATGCTTCCTTGTTTTAACGTATTCAGATTTTTCTCTTCTTGTTCGGTTTTGTATGGGCTTTGATCAAAGAACGTTTGAGAAACAATACAACATACGTGGTCATGGGTATATTTTAAAAGGGAGTGTGCCTTCACACAAAAGCACATAGCCAGCAATGCCATGCCGGTCCAGTGTGTCCATTAAATTTTCCACTCTGCGGTTTGAGAGGTGAAGGGCCCCATGTTGGATCATGTTTATCAGATAGGGCCACCCATGGAGGCTTCAACCTGTTGCGTGACCATTCATCAGTTGTTTCGAAGGACTCTTGATGGGTGAGAGGCTTTGTGACAGAGCAACATTACAGCGCTAATGTGAAATGTCAAACGGGAGAATGTGTGTGTGTGTGTGTGTGTGTATGAGAGGGGGTTACACTGTATATGTCTGTGTGCTTGTGCATGTCA